CTCAGCAATTATCCGATCCAAGCCGACTCATTCCTCAAAGAGATCCGTCCGTTGACTCCCGGCCAAATCCCGGATTCCCCATTGGACCGATGTTTGGACCTCTACTTCCTCAATACAGCGGAACATTTTAGTCTAGTCTTGTCAGCGCAAACGAATGAAGAACTTCTCGTCTCGGCTGCAGTGCCGTATCTTGCCTCCGGAGGCAGCGACAGTCTGCTGCCAATTTTTGAAGCAGCTCATAGTGTGATGCTCTCGGTCTTCTCGGCACCTCAGAGTTCTATTGTGGCTGCCAAAAACCTGCCTTTTTATATTGACGCTCTTTTCAAAGTGTTTCCAGACAACCTTTCACCTAGGCAATTTCGGCTTGCCTTCAAAACTCTATTGCGTGTCACTGCGCCGCCTTCGCCGTTATCAGCGACGCAGCCAGACCTTCCTGCAACTCTCTTGGAGCTGGTTCGTTATCGTGCCCTGAACGCACCAACAACACCCCTGGCGCCCAAACTACCGCCACAGGGCATTGCAATCAAGGATAATGACCCTGTTCTGTCCGAACAAGCTGTTCTGGTGCTGACTCTTCTGGATGCTCTGCCTTTTCTCCCTCTGGACCTGTTAGAAGAATGGTTACCGCTTTCCGCTGAGCTTGTACTTCTCGTTCCCGAAAATTCCATGCAAAACGTTTGCAGAAAAAGACTTTGGGACGTGCTTATCGGTGGTGAGATGGACCCTGAAAGGAGTGGTATCTGCGTTGCGTGGTGGACTACAAGAGGAGGAAGGGAGTATGTGATGTTTGGACCGGACAGCTCGAAGGAGGAAGACGGGTATTTTATGAGTGGGGCTTTGGGATCTACAAATGATAGCAAGTTGTGAGTCGCATGATGAAAGACGAGGAGATGAGCCAGCATCTTGGACCAAGGACCTCGACACGAAGCATACAGGAAACCTCTCAAGCTCGGGCGCTTCACCGATATTAATGTCGGCGGCAGAAGGATGCAGAGGAGCATCAACCTGCAGCTATAGGCTGAGCAGTACATGGCCAGCGTGGACAATGTCGGAAAGGTCTTTGGCTTTGCCACGGGCTTATCGTACAGCCTGGACTTCATTCGCGAATCAACAGGCAAAACGTAAAAATTGCTCACAGTTTGGCCGCGGTCTAGACAACAAATACCCTAGGGTCCGGTCCGAATCGCATAGTATCTTCATTGCGACTCTTCGCGCCTTGCGACCTCCGGATCTTCACTGAATTTTTTTAAATAAACAACAAACAACTCATGGTCACTGGATGAAATGTCCCGAAAATCTGGATGGAGAGAAGGACACGTGTGCTTGTTATGTCACCTTGCAAATCACGTACGATTTAACGTGGCAGCAAGCCCATACCACGAGTATCAGGCATCCGATACAGAACAAACAGTTACACGAGGGGCAGTCATTAAGCCTGGTCACCCTGCTCGCTCTGTGCGACGGCGATGATTGTTGCCTAGCACCCTTTTGAAAAATGCGGCTGCTTGGTTCTAGTAAAGTACACCTCGTCCATCTAGAAAATCGGCTCCATGGGCGAACCGTATCATGGGCCGTCTTTTCGCTAATCGCGGAAACAACCAACTAAAAGGTGTTTTCAAGCGACACGATCGTGAAGGAGGCCAGGAGAAAGAATGGAAGAAGAGGCTGTGGAAGAAGAGGGAAGAGGGGAGAGAACATGAGGATATGTTTTCCGGGCTGAGAATGAGAGCTTGGTTCATGGTCCTATCGATCATGGTGATGATCGCAGTGGTAACGGGGTTGACAATGCTTGAGGCATTTTGGGTGGGGTTTTGGAAATTGATTGTTTGAGAGATTAGGTTGGGGGAGGACGAGGATTTGGGGACAGCAAAGAAGGAGCAACAATATCCCAGGTTTTCCTGGCCGTTGCCAATGATACTTGAACTCAGACAGACACAAGGAATCATACATACAACTCATCTTTCAGGACTTACACTTTGATCCGCAAGCAACCTCACCGTTGACGCAGCTTACCCGGCATGAGACCACTTCAATTGTAAACCCCGAAAATGCCCAACGTGATTTTTGCACGATTGGCCCTGTCTCGAGATAAGGTACACAGATGATGAATCCGCACTCTCAATCACAGGCCGCACTCAACGGAGATATAGTCTCGGAAAGGCTCGTGTTGAGTTTGCCCGATTCGTCATCAAAAGTTCTTGGACCCGACCCTTTGCACATCTGATGACGTACTGACGCTATGACCAGCTACCACTGGCCCATGACCCTGAGGTGAAATAGTCCTTATACCTCTTATTCAGCATTGACGCCTTCCACGGGTGTGACAAAACTGACCGCGCAGGAGCCGGGAACCACTTTTTCTCGATTCCTTACTAAAAGTCGCTATCTTCACGGCTACACCACGACATCAATTCTTTACGGATTTCGATAATTTTTAAAGTATTAGATAGGGAATTACTCCCTCTCTTACGGGAAAAAATTTCTAAGGATCTACTTCTAATTTAGATAGCGTAATATAGAGAATACTATATAGAGACCGTTTTAGCGAGATTTTTAGAGATTCGAGTCTATTTTACTAAGAATTTTCTAGAGAGAAACTTCTAGCTTAGATCTATCTACCTAAACCTCTACTTCTAAGTTCTCGTATACAGATCTTAGGATCTTATTAAGAAGATAGAGTTATATCTATATTATAAGTTTTAAAGAAATCGAATCACCCGTCGTTAAGAAATCCTATCGTAAAAAGTCGATTTTTGGTGAGGATTAGGGTCTGAGCGCCTGCGCGGTCAGTTTTGTCACACCCGTGTTCTCCTCCTTCTCTTTCACAACCTTTAATTCCGCAGTAGTTGTCGCTAGCCGGTCCCCCAGTTCCTTGATTCGATCCTTGGCGATGTTTAGACCTCTCTCGAGAGATGATGGATTTGCGCTTGAGCGTGACGGATTTGTTTCTCGAGCGCTGGAGAGTTTGGGTATTTTGGTGTGGAGTGGGATTGTTGATGTGAAATGGCGTATTATTCTGGGATTGAGTCATGGTAAATGCTTTTGTGTGTGTGTGTGTGTGTGTGTGTGCGTGTGTGTGTGAGGGAAGGGGGCTTGATTTGTGAATGTGGATTATGGCGGATAATTTGGGGTAGAAGAGTCCGGAAGTTTATTACTTAAGGAGCGCGGTCATTGGGATCTAGTGAAGTGCTTCGTTTGGTATGTTTGGCTACAAGATGCGAAGATGTGAAGGAGATTTGTTGACGCTTTGATGGATCTGGTTAGGTATTGATGGATGGTATATCTGTCTCTGCTCATTGGGAGTGGTAGGAGGGGAAAGATCACTGCAGTCAGATCAAGAGGAAGATCTATGTCCGGAGGAAGGTGAATACGACGTTTCGCTTGATCACAGACTTCACACTTGAGCCCACCACCCGTGACCCATCAACTTGCCTCAATTGACGATTTCCTGGTGGTTGTCAGCCATCACTAGCTGAGGACGCCGCTGTATATTGTCATTTGATGACTTGCCGATATGCCCACCTAGGAAATCAGAATCTGGCAATCCTGTGTCGTGATTCTCCCCATCAGTATTTCGCTTCTCATTACTTCTTCCTTTTCTCTCGCCTTTGTCGCTTCTCTTTAAAACACTCCTTCTAATCTCCATCCAGGGCATCTTCGTTAACGAGTTTCTGAGGTGGAGTGCGAGCCGGGAGGTCGCTATCGCGGGACAGCTAATAAGAGATGTTTGATGAGTACTTCAAGGACATTTCCAGGCCTTCACTTGGCTGGAAATTGGGAAGAATACGATGATACAGGTAATAGACAGGTTGGAGGCCACAGCGTAAGTCCCTCACCACCTGCACTCCCGCTAAAGAAATCAAGCAAATCCGCTCACCCATCAATGGTAACAAGAATAAGATGTAGGTAAATTACCGACCTAAATAAGGTGCGTCGATTCCAACACCGCAAATCACGCGACTTCCTTGAAACGCAATACTACCATCCTCCCAAATCTCGAAAGAAAGAGCCGGGCAAAGGAAAACTGTCCATGTAGATGAGCAGATTAGGCTCGTCGAAGGGAAGAGGATGGAAGAAATATTCGTGGTTTCTTTTTGAAGTATCTTGTAATGGACCCGTAACTTTGTTGAATCGGTTTTAGTAGCATATATCAAATCCTGTCCCTATCAACCTCAACAATCCCACCCCAACCACCCCATCCTACCAACCCAAACTCAATCTATCCCCAAACCCTCCCCGCCATCCTCACCCACCCCTCTCCACCCCTCTCCACCCCATCTTCACCGAAACCCCTGAATCTGCGCCAACGCCGCCTCATAAGCCCTCATCGTAACCCTCGTCCTCTCATGCGCAGCATCCAGATACCCGCAAAGTTCGCCATTGAGGGTTTCGAGACAAGCATTTCGCTGGGCGAGAATCGCATGCTCCGTTTTCAATTCTTGGATTTGGGTTTTTAGATTGGATATGGTTTTGTGAGGTCCGAGTTCGGGGGTGGTGTTTTGGGAAGACATGGTGATGTTGATGTTGATGTTGATGATGATGATGGGTTTTTCTTGGTTTGAAGGGTGTGGAAGATGTTAGGAAGATAGGTTGAGAATTTTGTTGAGCTGCGTAGACTGTGAGACGGAGTATTTGATGGGACTGCGGTTGGGAAGTAGTTGAAATGCTGCGACGCGACTTGTTTGCTAGAGAATGTAGTCAGTGATGTTGGTTTGCTAGGTAAAACTTTGCTGCGATGTAGATTAGATCCAAAGGAGTATACCAGTGAAGCAACGATTCTGCAAACAAATGTAGTCATCCGCTCTGTACCAGCATACAGACCACCCAAATGTCAATACAGTATTTCACTCGGCCTTATTTCCCTGAGTGCATATTCGACACGAGCCAAAAAGCAAACTATAGCTTAAAAGACAGCTTTACAGAAGCAATAGATGGATAACTCTCCCCTACGCCCGTCTTGTAACCACAGAGGACACAAGATCAAAAACATGTACTGGTTACTCCTCTGGATACGTTCGAACGATCAACCTCTCGATACCTAATATGCATGGTAACAGTCGAACGCGCTAGCCAATTGCGCCTCAGGGGATGTTGGGCTCAATTGTGGTGTCGCCAAAGCGGAATTTGATCGAGGTCCGTGTATCGTGTGCAGGTGGTATAGGAGAAAGTGGAGTCAGACATGGTCAAGGCAGTGGCAGTGGCAGCTCACGCCTTGCTGTCGTTGTTGCCGCTGTCGTTGTGTTGAAGATGTGAGTGATCTGAGGAGAGAGATCTGGCGTATCTTCTGAGCTCAAGCAGAAGATTGTAAGTTTAGGAAAGTTGAGTGATGGAAGAGTAGAGAGTCGACGTTTGGAAGATGAGACTTGGAGTCTAGCACACGAGTCATGTTTGCCACACATCCCTCAACTTCAAGTTCTCCTCCAAACTCTATCATCCCCAATTTCTTCTACTTTCCCTTCCACTCTTCGACCATCTTATCGACACTGTCACCCTATCATCTCCTGTCTCCAAACCACTCAATAAAAACAGACACGGATAAGAACACCAACGACTGAATTATCGCAACCCGAGTAATACGCTCAATTCCCAACCAGATATGCCAAATCTACCATCCCCTCCCTCCACTCATCATAGCCTACAAGCAACCTCACCACTCATCCCCCTCTCTTCCAACCCACCCTCTCCCTTCCCTCAAACCCCCCCTCACACTCTATGCTCATCCAACACCCCCATCATCCCCATCTCCATCCCCATTCCCCCATCCTCCCCCTTCCCTCTCAAACGCGCCCTAAGCTCCTCACATTCCCTCCTCACACCCACCAATTCAACTAAGATCTTCTCATGGGCAACTCGTTCTTCCATAAACCTAGCGACAATCCGCTGTCCCCATTGTTTGTCTCTGTCGCATAGAACGTGCCAATCGAGCAGGTTTCGCTCGGAAATGGATTCTTTGGGTTGGTTGGGTTGTTCTGGTTGTTCTGGTTGTTCTGATATCGCAGGAGATGGAGGAAATTTGGTCTTCTCGTTGAGAGATTGGTTTTCGGGCGTGGAGATGTGGGTTGTCATATTGTGGGGATTTTGTAAACTTGTAGTTGGGGGAGGGTTGAGCTGCTGGGAGATGTTTTGATCGATGACAGGAAGCCAGATTGGGGAGGCTCTTGGATGGATAATTTATGTATGTATGTAGGGACGCTGATCATAGGTAGCAAGCACCTAGTAACTGATGGAAAGTACCTAGGTAATCAACATAATTACACACACAGGTCTAGATTGCCCCTTCCCGGATGAGAGCAGGAACGGAGCAAACCCACTCCTACCTAACCTTAGACATCCCGGGTCTCGCAGGAATCGATCATTAGGTAAAGAACGATGGACATCGCAACCCGTCAACCTGGTCTGGTTGCCCGCAAACAGGTCTTCTCGAGAAGCAAACTTACCTAAGGAACAACATAACATAACATACTCATGATTCATCTACCTGCATGTCTACCTAGCTAGACTTTCCCATCCATCCTCAACCACGCTTTCGCTTGCTTAACCTTAGACCCCCCCACCTCAAACCACCCTACTACCTCCCCACTCCCTCCCTCCTACTAACCACTCACTCACTCCTCTCAACCTCCCCTCCCCACCTCCAAAAACCACCCACCTTACCTAAAATTCCTCCCTTTCACTTCAGGAATCCACGCACAAAGATCTCATACACCACACCGCACCCCACCCATATCTCCCTTCCCTTGAATAATCCCGTTTCCCCAACTCTCACGCCCTGCTCTCATCAAATACATAGAGAGGAGATAAACACCACACGCAACACACAGCACCATACCATACCATACCAAACCATACCGAATTTTTTTTTCACTCTCTCTCTCCCATATACCCCGAAAGAACCTCGCTATCTCCCGACACCGGAATGCGGAAAATACAGATTTATATAATAAGCCTCATGCCCCTTACTTATACTTTTTGAGAAAGTTGGGGTTGGATCGCGTGGAGATAGTAGGGCTGCAGATTTGTTTACCTTGTCGCGAGGAGGGATGGATGTATTTACTATGCACGTCTATGCATATACATACATGTACACCTTATCTTATCTTATCTCATCTGACCTGTTCTACAATCCCAAAAAATCTCTTATCTAGACGAGATGAAAGGATTTGGGGAGAGAGAGGGGTCATATAGGATAAAGGGGTCGGACATACGATGAAGGATGCACAGTTGACAAGATAGATGGACGATGGTCGATGGCCGATGACCGATGTCATGTATCAATCAAAGCATTCCATCTGCTGTATGTGTGTGTCATTACCATCTAATAAGATACCACGATTATCTCAAAACTTTACAACGGATCAACAAAAACACACGCACAAATCCCTCACCAATCTCAACCCAAAGAATCTCAGCATCCCACTCTCCTCATTATATCTTACTATCCCCATCCCCAGCCCCATCACCAACGCGTGCATGCGCAACGAAACCTCACTAACTCACAAAAACATACACAAAAAAAGAGATTAATAAATTACAAAGAAAGATCCCACCTCCAGCTGCATCGTCTATTCCAATCCAACACCCCCTACTTCCACAACCACGTCCACATCCACTTCCACTTCCACTTCCACACCAACATCTCATCGACTAAGAATAAACGTTCCCCACCGACTAAAAAATAAACGAAAAGACAAAGCCGAAAAATTAAAGAATGCGGAATAAACAGACCAGACCCGCAAATGCAGCGGATAGACAGACAGACGAACGTGGGCAATACAGTGCCGTGGTATCAAATTCCCCGGATCCCAGATTCAACGCCAATCGCAATACTTTCAACCAGAGACATCACATTAACACAGACAAAGAAAGAAAGAAAGAAGAATTAGATCCTCCCACCCTCGACCAAAGTCCTTCCAACCAGCGCCTCAACACCGTCCTCGCCCGTCCTGCGGCGTTCCAGGAACCAACGGAAAGGACCTCCTTCCTGATCCTGCTCGCGTACGTAGGCGACGCTGTCACTGCCGTTCCGCGAATGTCCCTTTTGCTGCGCCGCTGATGTTGGGGAGGTCGGAGATATCAGACCGAGAGAGTTTGGTCGCGAGGTGAAGACGGGGGCGTGCGCGGTGTCGGGCTGGACCTTCTGGATCGTCGAGCTCGTCGAGGCCGAGGAGGGCGATGTGGGAGTCATCGCCTTGGGTAAATCCTGATGCGTTGGTCTGCCAAAGTCCTCGCTTACTGGAGAGGGAAAGTCCTTGTCAGATCCCACGAGGCTCGGTGCTCCAACAGCAAACCCGTGAGCGTCGGCGCGGATGGTTGGCGAATCATCTTGACCCTCTTCTTCATGACCCGATGCCGCTTCCGAGTCTTCGTCAGAGGCATCTGCCCATTCATTCTCATATTCGGGGGCCTCGTGATCGACCTCGTCATGTTGGCAATTGACGCCGTCGAGATAGTCTTCATAAAACCCGTCTCCTCCAGTTTCATCTGAGTTGCTTTGATTTGATCTAGGGAGTTCTTGCCGTATTACTGAGCTCCAAAGGACTCGTGGATCGCCTTTCGGTACGACTGGCGAGGAATTCATAGGACTGCTGACCTCCCCACGACTGCTGGTATTACTGCGTTGACTTCCGCCAAATGCACCACGGCGCAACTTCATGAGCGTCTCCATATTAATGTCACCCTCCCATCCAGGACTCATCTGCGCGAGCGCATTGAGACTCGGGCTTGAAGCCGCATTGCGATCTCCGTGATGCAGTGATATGTAAGAATTCCTGGTGGAGTATTCCGAGCGCTCAGTGATTGGAGTGAGATTTGGCTCCCGCGTAGACCGTTGACGCTTGATCTCTCCCCAGTTCTTAGGACCGAAGTAGCCGCCGTAGACTGCATCACCATCCGTGTCTGAGGCAGCGTTTGTGGAGCCAGGTCTAGCATAAAAACCAAACTCTGTCCCATAGACCCCTTCATCATCGTTTTCCAAGGCCTCAGCATTTGCAGCTGCAATGAAAGCATCGTCCTCCATTGCGGAGTCATAATCCGAGTAATCAAAGTCACTCGAGTATGTATCCTGGCTGTAAGCTCCTGGAAAGAGAAACCCAACAGACTTGCTCGGTGTCTCATCGATGACGTCCGGGATCTCGGAGGCGCGAACTGTTGGCGGTGACATTGTTGTTGCTTGACTGAAGCGACCGTCGTCTGGGATCAGGCTTGGACGTGACGACACATTTTCCTCATCTCCATCATGTATCTCATTTGGGGGCGAGGAAATGTCTGAGGCGCTATCATCCGTAGCATCATCGCGTGCAAAGCGGCCATCAGCAAGGGCCTTGGTGGCCGCCATCGCGAGTGCGCTCTGGTACTTGGAGATGGTCTCCAAACTGGAATTCGGGTCTGGATGCTCGGGATTAAGATCAGGTAGAGCGGGTACTGGCTCTGTCGGAAGTGAGTCCCTTTGTCTGGGCAGCTTTTGGCTATTTTGGGGAACTATACGCCGCAAGCTTTTGGCGGGTATCGGAGGAGGAGCGCCAATTGGCGCTCGCTCGTAGAGAGGATGTGACGGGTCGTCCAGAACAGACTCGTCAAACTTCTGCGTATTTGTATCGGCGAAGTCTGCGTCGTCGAATTCACCATCATCAAAGTAAAAGTTGTCGTCCTGGACCGCAGCTTTTTGAGGCTCATCATGATCACCACAAGGAGCCACACGTACTTCTTCTTCTTCGAGGGGTGAGATCACGTCCGGCTCGTCTTCTTGGAAAGCAGGTAGGATGCCCAAGCCTGGCACCTCGCCAGTTGGCATGTCATCGAAGCTCATACCACTTAAGCCCGGATGCTGGACTTCGCTCGCGGGCATATCATCCAAGGTCATGTTACCAAGCCCTTCAGATTTTCTCTCTGCACTCGGCATGTCACCAAAACTCATTCCGCCGAGACCTTGATGCTGCATCTCATCCTCCTCCTCATCATCAAACCCATCAAACTCTCCATCGTCGATCGGATTGCCTCTCAAAGCCAGATTCGCAGCTTCTTGTACATCGAGTCCGCTCAATCCTTGCATTCCAGTCACCGGCATACTGTGAAGCGTCAAATTACCGATTC